CCCCCCCCCCCCGCCCCGCCCTCTCACTCGGCTCTCTCAGTTGTACTTATACTTAACCATTATGGAAAATTCATTCTCTGCTGTTCACATACTAGAAGGCAGCAGTACTGTTATAACAGAGGATTTGGCCCATAGTAAAGAAAAAGATTAACTCACACAAGCACAACACATGAACACGATGATGAAAGACTGAAGAACTCCAGCTGTTCCCACAATCCACGTTAAACGTAGGAAAAGGATGACTCCCAAGATGTTTTGCAAGCAGGGCAGGTACACACCAATAAAAGTGCCCATACGTGGAACCTGGAAATGAAGCCAGAACTTTCATTCCTTTGCACTGAACAATTTAAGTCCATATGCACTTTCTTCTGCAAACACTTATCACAAACGCTCCACGAACAAATGCAAAGTGAAATTGAATGGTAGCTTTGCAAATATTCATAGGCTATTTATGAAGAAATATTCCTGAAAAGACAGAAACCTATTTGTGATAGCAAACCTCTTGTTCCAAAGGAATTAGGATGAAACCTTGATAGGGGTAGGACGTCCCTTTATCTGTTGATTACAAACTTTTTTCTGAAATACCATTTACACACTACCATTGAGGAGAAGTTACTGCTATAATCAAAATACCAAACATATTCTGCAAAATGTTGATCACCAATTTCCATCCAGCTGGCCCAGAAAAGAATATTCAACAATAAGTGCTTTCAGTTTCTAAAAAAAAAAAAAAAAAAAAAAAAAAAAAAAAAAAGAAAATACAAGGTATTACAACAAGGCCAGAAGAAATGCAGAGCTGACTACAGTTTGTTTTTGCAGAAGTTGTGAAACCTGCCACAACATAGTATGTTTGTTTGTACTTTTTTGGCACACACAAAAGCATTCAGGCTTCATCATTGAAGTTCCAGCCTTCTATGTTTATGAAGAAATCAGGCCTTGAAATACTCCACTTCGAAGCAATAGTTATACATAGTAGGCTTCCAGATACAGAAGCTCTTCTTAAATCACAACTCAGGCTGTGAAAAAAAGGCAATTGGTGCTTTATAAGTTAACAAAATTATTAAGTAAACACAAAGTTTCCAAGTACTTATAAGGAACTATGGAATGTCATTTAGACTATAATATTTATGTTTAGCGTTTTGGGCAATATCCATGTACAACATCTGTGGTACTGTCTCAATTACAGCATTAAAAATGCTACTCTGCCAGGCTACTACTTAGCCATCACTTAATTTCAGACATGGAACTGAAAAAAGACACATGCACAGAAACTGTGTCTTCAGGCCACCAGATGGTGCTCAAGTGAGATTAAGTGCAAGTGAGGACATGGTGGTCATTTGGCTAGTCGGTTCCAGAAGGACTAAAACCACGCTGCATTAACAAAAACCTCTGCACAGCGACTTGACGGAGGACAGGGATCACACTAAGGAAAGTGCGAGTTGATCAGTGTTGGTTTTCTTGTATCTCAAGATGTATCTTCAGATGTGAAGAAACAAATACAGAACAAGCACAATGAGACAAACAAAAAGAAACCCCACACACAAACAAATGCAGGATAAGCAAAAAACTGAAACAAACAGCTGGACTTCATTCCCTCACCCTTGCCCGCTGTCCTGGTACCCACTTCACATACTAGTCAAGTCCTAATGCAAACAGGTCTACTGCAAATATTCAGGTAACATACCACACCATAAATCTGTCTTCCAGTCAAATGAGCTCCAGTTCTAACTTCACTTTCAAGCACCTTTTCTTATCTGTCTCTCCTGCTATGTTCTCGTTTCCTTTTATTCATACTTTTATGCTTCTCCTCCTTTCTCCATAGCTCAGCATACAAATGCAGTGGCAGCACCCTTTCTTCTACACAGAGACAGTACTCTCCTTTTCCCAGCATCTACCCAAAATTTCTTAGTCTCAGTCACCATGCTCAACCAGTTCCAACTCACCATCCCTCCTTGCCTAGCAGTTCTCCTACTCTGTCAGGTCACATATTTTTGATCCAAGCTTTCTCCTTCCGAAACAGCTCCCTGAGCACAGAGGGATCAACCCAACATCTCATTGCAGACTCCAACTGTTGCATACGTTCCATTTCTACAGAGGCCTAGATATGCACTTTGGGTATCTTGTAGACGACCCTTGAAGAATTCAGTGGCTGTCTTCTAGCAGTGTGTTTAGGGATGTGCCAAACATCCTTTGCCTTTCTTCACCACCCTGACAAATATCGTATTTTTGAGGTATACAACAAAAAATTTCCTTAGAAGCAGCAAATTAAGTTTTAAAAATACTCCGACACACAGAAACAAGAGAGCTACTCAGAAAAACTGCTACCATGTTAACAGTAGCAAATATGCTTATGGATTTAAAAGATAAACCTGTTTCATCTCAAGTGTTCCTTAAATTTCAACTTTAGGTAAAAACCCAGCCAATTAAAATGTATTCATAAACCAGCAAAAAAAAAAAAAAAACAAAGCACCAAACCCAAAAACCGTACTGTATCCTCACTAAAGGCAGACAAAAGGTTCTGATGCTCATACAAGGACAGAAGGAAGAAAAGAAAGGAAGAGAAAACTGGCATGCACTGCATGTTTCAGGTCCTAACTTTGCACACATTTTATCTAGGGCTTTTACAGCAAGGTCTCACTAAAACATGCTAACAAGAACACTGAATGCAAGTCCCTCTGCAAATGCTTCAATTTTAAACACAATATTACAAATCTTGCTCCTGTTTTTAGGCATCCACGTATTTTCTTTTTAGGTTGAAAAATGCCCCTCTCTGTGGATAGCTTTGTCTCAATAACTTATGAGAAGTTTAAGTACCTTGACTTCTTTTCGCTTGCTGTCTTCATCTGCTTCATGTTCCACCACGCCTTGAGTTAGATTAGTGTAGTTTGCTAGTTTATTAAGAAGAGATGACACCATGGGATTACTATCCATTTCTTCCTGTTGGGATTTTAAGAATACTGCATTTATCAAATAGCTTTCTAAGAGACATGATTTTATGATACTACTTCATACACATACTCAACAAGTCAGCCCTGATTCGCCCAAATCCAAAAATTAGCACGACAAAATACCAGTCAGCTTTCAACAAGAGTTCTAAGTCTTTCTAGAAGTTTAACACCATGTGGCTATCTTGCAATATTTATTTCACTTTTTTTACACTATCTTCCAATATGCAGCTTGTACCGCTGGAATATAAGGGAAGTCTAGAGAAGGGCTGATGCTAATCATAAAAATCTGTTCCTATCACAATACAGTTTTTAGGGGATTGTACTGGCAGAGTCAAATCATTAGGGCGGTTCTCCAGCACCTTGCTTGTGTCTAGAGAGTGGCCTCAAATGATTCTCTCAAGCACCAAGATATTTAAGGATCACTCTCAAGTGCACTGTTGCAGGCTTACTTACTTTATCTTAAACCATGCATACTACTTCCAAAGTATTCATTTGTTGAAAATACAGGCACATGTGCATAACGTGTAATATTACTTGACACAGAAGTCAGCCCATCTTTCTTTAGCTAAATGTCCGCTACAAAACAAAAACATGCTAAAACAAATATTAAATTCAGGAAAAGCATATACAATAAAAGGATTCTAAGAAAAGCAGAAGCAGAGAATTCAATCAAGTAAACAAGATCAAATATTGAAAGGAAAACAAGAGATTAGGATTGCAAACAGAAAGACAAGAGCTAAGGCATCTATGCCAGAGGCATTAGGTCATGATAAGCATTCTTTTAAGAGCCAAACTCCTTTGTAACAGTGTATACAAAAATTCAAACACAAGTCAGCTGAAGACATGAAAAGAGTAAGATTGTAGGAAACACACTATGAAACATAAATACTACCAAAAAAAATTCACCACCGCAGCAGCAATGGTAAGGAAGTCACTAGAAGGCTTTCAAGGCAACACTATGAAAGCATGGTCTATAATCTGAGATATGAAAAAGAACTTCATCATTATACCATCAGCTGAGGATTTAATGTCAGCCACTATTCAAAATAACTGATGCAAGCACATATTCAAAGAAGATTAAGGACAAAAAGCAGCTATGGCCAATTTATCAACACCAAGGAATACAACAGCCAATTTGAACAACAGAAGTTTTGGACATTGCTTCATAGCATAGAGCTTGAAGGAGAGAAATTCAGTGACAAGACTCCACTATCATGGTTTCTGCCAAAAAAATAGTAAGAAATTCCATACATGATGGAGAGAGACAACTAATGACCAATGTTACATTGATCCTTAGCACGATCTTCTCTAAGACTTAGTGAAAAAATAGTAAAAATGCATTATCTGGGTCATGCAGAAAGAGGGAACTGAAAGATCACATCCTCTGTGCAAAGATATTTGAAAGGAAGAAGAGAAGAGCGTAAGAGGACAAGAAAATAGTGGGTAGAATGCAACAGCAAGATGGCTAAGCAAACCATGTTAGAGGAACCTTGTTTATTGTTAACAGCAAGCACCAAAGCAAGACCAGGTGATAATGCTAGAGCAGAACAACTCAGTACTTTTAGTAAAGTTTAACCTATTTCATTGCATTCCTTTTTTTTCCTGTAAACGATTGCAATCATTCAGTGCATTAAACAGGTACTAAACTTGCATTATAAAGTAGATGTTTCTGTTAGAAAGTAGAAATAGCTATGGTATGCTCTACAGTAATTGGACAATGTAACGAAGCCATGGCCTATCACAGTTTGTTTTATACTTTTGCTGCTTTAAGAGAAGTCTGTATTCCCCCTGTTCAACATATTTGCTAATCCTTTATAAAACTGGATACTGCTTCGTTAAAACCACTAGATTTAACAGCAACTGTCTCTAACAATTTCTAGATCCTAGCCCAAAAATTTTAAATGCAAGAAGGCTTATTTCATATCTTCACATCAATGCATACCAAAATGTTAGCAGGAACCAAACTACTAAAGAGTTATTAAAATTTATTTCCCCCCCTCCAATTTCAAGAGAGAAAGAAAACAGGGGTTTGCTTGTTTTCATCTTACTACCAGAGCCTCAATGGAAGGCGAAATATGTCTTTGGGGCATTTAACTTACCTCAAAGAGAGCCATATTCTTTCCTTCATACATGTTTCCTCTGTCCATCTCTGCACTGTTAATAAATGGACTACTCTCTCTGGCAATCCCATCCCCTGGTGGAGAAGTTCAAGAATTAGAAACAGAAGGGGGAAAAAAAGATAAAGTATACCATAAAAGGAATAGTCAGAAGATGCTGATTTAAGAACTGGTCAGATAATACTGGAGGTGGCTGTCAAATGCTGTGTCTTTGTCCCAGACGTGGGCAAAATGTCCACATTTAAGGAAATTAAGTTTACTTTAATGGTCTAATCTTTGTATAGTGTTCTGCCTCTTAACTATTGTTTATTATTCTTCAATACATATACCAATCTCTCCCTTGTCCCCTGCCCCATCTTTCCAGTTCACTTAAACACTTGATAATAGAACTTCACATAAACCTTCTGGGCAATAACAACAACAAAAAAACCCCAACCTACCTTTTCATTACTTTATGACTCTCTCAAAAAAAAACTCCAGTAGCTCAGGCAGGAATTAATGAAGGAACAATGTAAAAAGATTTATTTTGTAAAGGTTGTTGGGACTCTTCCGTGACATGCTATATTTATTCTATTCCTTATTGAAATACCAGTATCATTAAGCTGTAGCTCCCCTGACCTGCTCTGGCACACCTCTCAAAAAATATACCATCCCTTTCACTGCCTTCCAGCCCATGCAATACAAAAGCTATTACATGCCAATACTACCACAACATTGGCATTTCCAAATAGTCTCAAGTCCTTGCCTATGCTATTTTGCCTGTCTGCGCTTTTGCCCTTATATTCACAAGTTACAGCAATAACATACACAGACTCTTCACTACAGAATTAAGCTGGAGAACAAGTTGTACTCTCTTTCCTGTGTCCTCCACTCTGCTCCCACCAGGACACTTTGCCCCACATGAAGTCCCAGAAAAAAGCTCTTGCAAACATGGACACCAGTCTCGGCACAAAGCATTATCCTGACTGTAATAAAGACAGAAATAGATCTCAGTTCCTCAAGCAGATGAGTGACTACATCCCTGATGGATTTCCTACTACTCTCCATAGCATCACTATACTTATTGGATTGTGACATAGAAGCTGCATACTATCATAAGAGACTCCATTGGGGCTCTAGAATTAACTCCATGATCCAGAGAAGAACATGTTGATGAATTCACCCACAAATGTTCTTATCCAATGCACCTCCTTCTATCCATATTCTCCAGCCTTCATTTTTTTGTTTCTCTACAGTTTATAATTGGTCCCCCCAAGTCCTACAGCCTGTCTAGGCCCCCCTCCTCCAACAATGCTTAATGCAAGGCCAGCAGAAGGAGCACTGTGAATACAAAAGAATCTCCCTCATGGACCAGCACCTCAAGATCTTTCACAATGCACAGAACCTGCTGGTTTGACACAAGACTGTCTGAGAAACTGGCATTTATCTTTTCATCGGCTCCATCATACTCAGAGAGAAAGGTTCAGTTAGCTTTTCCATAGGCAACAAAAAGCAACTCTGTCCCCAAGCAAATACATGCCAATTCCTCTCATCATCTTTCTAAAGCATACGAGCATTAGAACTTCTTAGTTGAGACATTGCACTTTTTTGCCAAGATTTTTGGAACACTTTTTCTTTTAGCCCCATTCCTTGAAATCACCACATTATTTTTGCTAAAATTTTTACAAAGCATTCATTACAAGGCACATTCCCAAGTTAAAAAAAGAACAATGTTGCTTGACATTTGTCTTGGTAAGACCACACTTCTATGGACTTACTCGCCTATTGACAGCTGGTAGCTGTACTTGCTAGCTACACATTAGTACTCCTGTCGGAGTACTTCCAATCCCTTCAGAAAGGATTACTCTTCAAGAAGTGACCTGGGGACTTTCAAGTATTGTTTTGCATTCATACAGAGTGTAATGCCACTGGAGTTATTACTTCAGTGAGTATCATTAGACTGGTCAAAACATCAAAAGGGTAGCCAAACGAATAATCTGAATCAGTATCCACAATTCTGAGGTTGAAGAATATAGTCTTGTCTTACCAGTTCTAGAAGTAAAAAAATCAGCATCTGAGCACTCAGCACATTAAATACTTTAAACTGCAGGTAGAGGAATAGTGAAGTCTTCCTTTAGATGCTTCCATTTCTATACCAACAGTTACCTGGCTTTGCTCCAATAGGAAAAAGTTCAGAGCACAATGCCTCCAAAAAACAGGTCTTGTCAAATGCACCTAACAGACTGCAGGGGGGTTGGACTAGATGACCTCTAGGGGTTCCTTCCAACCCAAAACATTCTATGATATGGAAAGCCACAGAACTTTGGTTTCCTATTCTTCAAACCCTTTTTCAGTGTTTCCAACCAATATTCTACCTATAGTAAAGCTTTCTCATACTAGTCAAAATAGCCTGTTTATTTAATACAGTTGTCTTTTAGTATTTTGTGAATGTTTTGTACAGCATTTTTATAGCATTTGGCATGATCGGCATTTTTTGTTTTAACTCTATTTGAAAGAGGATCAATGCTGAAAAAGCCACCACAAAAACATACTGACAAGTACTCTCTCATCTGCAGGTTGTTGACTAATCCTACAATTATTAACACTTTGAACAAGCTCCTTTGAGTTTTCAGCATTGCCGTCAACAAAATCATAGTGCCTGTAAATTCAAAAATAACACCTTTAGGAGTATGCTTACGTAATATGCTTAGAAATACAGCGAGCCTTACAAACACGTAACTCAATTTGAGATGTATTACACCATCCAGTAGAAAGAACTAGTTTTAGGACCTCAACACACAGTCAACAACTATGGTGAGGTAAACGAAATAAGCTACTATCCCAATCTTTAGCTCATCCCTTCTTCAAAAAGAAAGGATTCACTAGAAAACCAGAACTAAAAAAAAAAGACAGGGTTTACACTTTTCACAAGCGCTGTAAATATCACCTCTGCTACATCAAGTGGAATGGAGCAATAGGAAAAAAAAAAAACTATTTCAGTTGTTTCCACTCAGGTAACATGGAATACAGAAATAGGTACTTTGTTCCGCGAGTAAGTCTCAAGCCACTTACAGCTTTATGTTTTAACCCCATTCCCTTGAATTCTATATGGAAGCTTAAGGTAATCAAATCATAGAATCATTTAGGTTGGAAAAGACCCTTAAAATCAGAGTCCATCTGTTAACCTAAGTCCACCACTAAACCATGTCCCTAAGCACCACATCTTTTAAATACCTCCAGAGATGGTGACTCAACCACTTTCCTGGGAGCCTGTTCCAATGCTTGACAAGCAAATCACCTTTCCCTCAGGCTTCTTTGAAACTGCGTCAGCTCAAACTCTTCTCAGGTGTGGACGCAAGTTAAAACATACAATAAAAATCGTAACTTCCAATGTAGTTTTAGACATTCCTCTCAGCTGCATGTGTTTTCTGGAATCCAATTAAAGCTCTACGAAAATCTATACTTACTGTCCCTTGATTTCTGAAAGTAATTCCAAGTTATGAGGGTGTGCAAGCAAAAATCTGAAATCTGGACTAGATTAGTAGTCCATCTGAGACAGAATTTCATCTGGGACCACCACTGGTATTAAGAGATCCATAAGAAAGGCAAGACAAAACAACAGCAAAAATCTTCTATGGACATGATTAGGGTATAATGTTTCCTTTTTCTTATGGTACTCACAAAAAATCCCCACCTGTTGATGTGACACTCCATTCCACCCAACATAAGGCAATCAAATACTAAGCTCTAGAAATAAATCTGCTCCCCCCACCCCTCAAATATACACTTTTAATCTGCTGTGGAATGTTCACATAACCATAGCACAACTCTGTGCTTACTGATGGACCAGTAGACAAACTGAACCATAACTAATGTACCTCTCCCAGAAGCCTGCCTGGTATTTTCTGTGTTGATGGGACATGCAAAGATTCCTACTCCTGATTTCTACAGATACCCAAGCACTGTGATAGGTGTAGCTATATTTACATGGAAATTAGCTGCAACAAATTAAATTTTCTTTTCTACATGAGATAGACAGCTGGAAGCAGAGAAGGTAAGATACATGTTTCAAGTTCAGGAGGTAATGTTCAGAGTGTTCATGCAGATGATCACAACATGCACTCCCACACACCCGTCCCCCAGTTGCCGATGCAGCTTAACCCACACAGCTTAGCACAAAACCGTCCCAGAGTTGTCCTAGCCTCAAGTTTAGAATGCCAATGCCATCAGACGATTTCTCATTAACATCTCCACACACCAAACAAAACTTATATCAGAAATATGTCTGCAGGTCACAACTCAAAGTGTTGGTCATAGAGTTGAAAGACAGCACTTTGTTCAAACTGATATGCCTCAAAAGTATCAGAGCCGTGATCCTCAAACACTAACAGGCAGAATCCTTTAAGGTATGTTACAAGTTAAAAATTTCTAAGCTGATCCAAACTGGTCCATTTTATGCAATCTAAGACAGAACCCAAGAGTATAGCTTAAACAGGCAGAAGCTACCTTTGCCACCAAAGAGGTGGCCCTCTCATTCCCCTCTCACGCTTACTACTCACCCATTTGTGTCCCTGTATCACGCTATTCCTAACACAAACAGAATTATTTATTATAAATGCAACAGTGGTTGTGTGCTTAATGGTTGAGTTGGGAAAGAGTTGCTTTGCTCCTCTTTTTATTCTTGCTGCTACTTTTAATCCATATGAGTTGTGCGTTCACTATACAAATGCTTGTGCTGTCACTAGAGATGCTATCAGTGCAGGAATGAGCAATCAGCGTAAGCAAAACCACTTCCTTAGCCCTCATGCCAATATTACTAAATGATAGAACTATAGCAGTTGGTTGTCCCTCCCCAAATCAAAAGAGGTAGAGTATGAAAAACAACCAACCAACCACGTAACAGGTGTCTTGTCTTAGGGAAAGTGGCAGAGGAGGGCTCAGGGTAGAAAAAGGAAATGATCATTTAAGTGATCCTAAATTTGCACTAGGATGCCTGTTCAAGAGATTAAGGGCAAAAATACTAGACCACCTAATCTGATCTCCTGTCTTTCTACAGGTTGCAGAATTTAATTTCTGCAGTAGGCTCTATAACTTTTAAAAAAAAAAACACATACTAAGATTTGACCAGTGTGTCTCTCTTGACGTTTTCAGAACTGAAATAAGAAAAAAAAAAAAAAAGCCTATCAATTTATCTTTACAAAGATTAAGGGTTTTTTAATCACTGGGAAAGTCTCAAACAAATTGTGTCTTATTTCTTTTAAATTTGGCTCTTTTCAAACTTCTAGCTGTAGCATCCTAGTGCACCTTCCAAATTTAACCACTCACACTTAGTATTTTCTATCTGTGAAGGCAACTACACTTAGCATCTCAAGCTTCTTTTGAAAAACTGAAACAGCTAATTTCATAAAACATTTTCCTAACCTTTAATCATTTTTGTGACAACGCTCTCTCCACTTTTTAAGTTACGCAAAAATAAGTTTTAAAGCTTTCAAACTTCAAAAACCAAATAAAGCTTTCTATCACCAGTCGCAGTCACACTATTTACAGAAGTATAATCATCACCTCTCTACTCCAAGGATCAGGCTAGCCCTCTTTACCAGAGCATTAAACCAAGCTCATGCTATTCTATTCCAGTCCAACCCCTAAATCCTTTCCAGATTCACTGCTTCCTCACTGTCCCACGCTATGTCTGTCATTACTGCTCACGCTCAAGGAACCGTCCTATTTGCCTTTGCATCCAAACACTTTTTGTCCAAAGAAAGCAAGCATCTATGCCCCCTGACATGCTGTAGTAGTTTAACATCCATCTGAAAAATAAAAGCAAATCCTTTTAAATGGCAAAAGAATACAGGTGGTGTGCAAAGAAGTGAGAATGATCTAAAATTTTTGAACCATATGGCCTCAAATAAGATAGCTTGGCTATAAGACATAGCTATTCTCCAAACAAGTACATGCAAAAAACCAAAAAGTTTTGCTTCCCACTAGAAATTTCTAACTTTATACACTGCTGCCCAAAGCAGAACACAGTTGAAGAATAATACTTCACAAAAAATTCCTAACCTTTCATAGTTTCCAAAGGGCAACTCTTAATCATAGTCCACGTGCCTTGAGGTAGGTTCCAGTTAGCCAGACACAGGTGAAAAATTTAATAAATTTTTAATAAAAACTCTGGTAACATTATCATTAAGTTAGTATTCGGTCACATTAAGAACTACGAACAGAGCATATGAAGATAAGATCCTGTTTGCACAAGGCTGAACAAGCATTTACTGTCAATGCAAATAAACTTTTTAAGGTAGGAATGCATAAAATTTAAAAAAGTCTCTAACACTGCTATCTAGAAGCATCACATCCAAGAAAGCTGCCTGTGGCAAAAACCGTAATTCTATCTTCGCTGTCATGCATATTTACTTCCTATGTGTCCAGATTTTCCATCAGCAGGCAACTAAAGAGAACTCAGACAATCTTAAAAATTTAATTTCTTACCAATCCTAATCCAAAAATATATACAAGTATTCTTTAGAGCTCTGACATAAACTCAGGTTTTCAAAAGCCATTATCTTGCTTTAATTCAAATTATCAAACCTTGTTTGAACATAATCTTGCCTCTGAATTTTTGCATCAGATGGGTTTCAGAATTCAGTGCGATCTACTTCAAAGTCACAGGTTATTGGGTTTTCCTAGTAAAGAAATGTCTTTAATAATGACATAGATTTACTCTACCGCTAATTTCTTGCATTAATTTTATCAGTGACTAGCACAATTTATGTAAGCTATCTTGAAAAGCAGAACAAGGTGTACTTAAGCTCCTTGTAAACCCCTTCACATAATGGAGGATTCTAATACTACATCCATCACTTACCTCATCAACATCACTAAATTTTAGTTTTCCTTTCCTTAGGCTATTATAATCAAGCACAGCCCACACTGCAAAAGCTCTTTCTAACACAGCTGGAAGTACCGCATCTGCTATTTCAGTAACAGAGTCATTGTCTTTTATGGTATTGTCTTTTAAAGAGACTCACTTGGATTTGGCCCACTTTCTTCATAATCTTGTTCACTCATGATTAAGGAAAATCAAGTCATTCCTCTCTGCTGATTCTTCACGTAGCAAGAACTGAAACAGGAAACTGACAGTTGCTTCCTCCCGGCTTTGTGTAAGACCTCAAATCCTGTTTCTTACTAGTATTGGATTAATCCTGAAACAAGTCATTAAGGCTTCATGCAGTGTGAAGCATGCACATGACGCAGCCAGGCTACAGGACAGTCACAGAACTCTCTAAGAGAATTAAGCTGGAGGATTTCCATCAGCAATAAACACCATGCTTAGTGAAATGGGCAGGATCAAGTTACTAAAACATCCTACGTCTTCACCTACTACTAATACATTTAAAGTTCTTTTTCCATCAAATAAATTCACTTTAAAATACTTCCACTGAGCAGATCAGTATACATTAGCAACAAGTAGTATTAACCTATTTCAAAGATCTACTATTAAAAAAGCCAATTTTATGCATCAAGAACTTATTAGCAGATCTTAAGCAAGTTAACCATAAGGATAGTCGCTAAACATTGATTTTATGTAAGGGCTTGCATTGACTGTATTTAAGATGTAGCAGATAAAAACCACTTTAAAATATAATTCTAGTAACTTTGCAAGCACTCTTTTTAGAAACAGGTATTTTGAAATTATAAAGGGGTCCTCTTTAAGACTAGCTCCATAATTTGTTAACTGCTTCTCTTTCAAATTAGGTATATCACTGTTTTCTAGTTTATACATTAATCTAATTCACACATTCTATACCAGCCTTAAACAACTTCATACAAACTGTTTCAGCTCTGTTAAATGGATGTTATTGCTTAGAACAGACTAGTTCCTGTGGAGGAAGGGAGAGGATTTTTTTTTTCCTAGAAGGTACACATGAGTTTAAAAAAAAAATTTAAAAAAACCCACCCAATTTTTGCAAAGCAGATACCACTCAACATCTCACCTCCCAAAGGCTCCCAGAATAATTTCCCAAACAGGCTGAATGCTGCTTTATTTTGGTTGCTATTAGTTAGCTAACAGATACAGACAAGCAAGGTACCTAATTAAGAATGCTAGCTGTTGAAATCAGGAAGCAGATGATAAATACTGTCCAACTGACACAGACATTATTAAGCCATGCTTTCCTATAGCTGTCATTCAAAAGCAAAAGTTATTCAGGGACCATCTTTAAGTTTGCATACTGCTAACTGCTCATTAATCCATTTCTGAAGATTACCATCTGACCTTTAAAAATAAGTAGGTAGCACTTTTGATGCCCTAAAACTGGCAATTTTGAGGGTTGAGAAGCTGCCAAAGAAACAGTTATACCTCTTGTAAAGCAGGGTCAGGGCAGCACAGCAAGAACCTAGTGTTGCAGAACCTAATGCACCAAAACTTTGTCCAATTTAGCAACTGCTTGAAAATTTGAGCACGAAATCAGAGAGAATGCAGTTTTCATAGACTTCATGTGGCAAGTTGACCTTGGTTGGCCGCCAGGTGCCCACTGAGGTGTTCTATCACTCCCCCTCCTCAACAGGCCAAGGGAGAAAAAGATATGATTAAAAAGCTTGTGGGTTGAGAAAGGAACAGGGAGATCACTCAGCAGTTATCATCATGGGCAAAACAGACGATTAAGTTAGTTTAATTTATTGTCAATTAATAAGAGAGTAGGATAATGAGACATAAGAACAAAAACACCTTCCTCCCCGCCCTCCATTCTTCCCAGGCTCAACTCCACTCCCAACTTCTCTACCTCCTCCCCCTGAGCAGCACAGGGGGTCAGGGAATGGGGGTTGCAGTCAGTTCATAACGTGTTGTCTCTGACGCTTGGGGAAACAGTCCTTCATGACCTTCCTCAATATACAGTCCTTCCTAGGGGCTGCAGTTCTTTAAGAAATGCTCCAGCATGGGTCCTTTCCATGGGGTCACCAACCCTTTGGGAACAGACTGTTCCTTTGGAAGCAGACCACATGGGACTCCTCATGGGGTCACAGGTCCTGCCAGAAAACCTGCTCTGGCATAGTAGCCTCTCCATGGGCAACAGTTCCTGCCAGGAGCCTGCTACTCCAGTGTGGGCTCTCCATGGGATGCAGCTTCCTTCAGGGCACATTCACCTGCTCTGGCATGGGGTCCTCCACAAGCTGCAGGGGGACAACTTGCATCCCATGGCCTTCATCACAAGCTGCAATGGAATCTCTGCTCCAGCACCTGGAGCACCTCCTCCTTCACTGACCTTGGTATCTGCATAATTGTCTCTCTCACACATTCTCACTTCTCTCTCCCAGCTTTTTTTTTTTTTTTTTTTTTTTTAAACCCTTTCTTACCAAGATTGCTGATGGGCTCAGCTTTGGCCAGTGGTGGGTCCGTCTTGGAGACAGCTGGAATTGGCTCCGTTGGACATGGGGGTAGCTTCTGGCATCTTCTCACAGAAGCCACCCCTGCAGCACCCTCCCTACCAAAAGCTTGCCACATAAATCCAAGGCACTTCACCATGTATTTTTCTTTCAGCAGGGAAGGAAAGAATGTTCACAACCACTGCTGATGACACCTTCTCTACTGAATTTGTCTTTGCTGCCACCACTGTGCCAAAGGTGCAAAGAGCCAAGGAAAACACGTTCCAAACCTTAAAAAGTACTTTTATTAGCTTGCGGTAGGAGAAGGTAAATAGAAACCTGACAGAATAAGCTGCACTACTAGCAAAATTAAAATTCTCCTGGCTGCTGTCTGGGCAGTTCACAAAGCCATGGCGTACAAATAACTGCAGTAATATAAATTATAGTGTGTTCCAGAAATGCTCCTTGTTCAACTGGTATATTGAATCAAGGAGGAAAAAGAAATACTATCTGATTATGCAAAGAAATACCACATAAGCCCCAAAAGGACAGTGTAGGAAAAAAAAAAAAAACCACCTAAACTTGTAGGAGAATCCATTTAAAGCAAGCAATACATTTTGTCAAGAGGGGGAACCCTCAAGCTTTACTATTTCTACTCAGATGCAGAAAATAAGTCCCTTGTGATAACATTCTATAGTTCATTAGTCTAGAGAACAAATAGAAATAGCCCTAATTGTTTCACTCCCCATGTTTTAGTATCCATTTCTATGTAAAGCAACAAAATAGTTCAAAGATGCAGGGAAAATTCATCAATTCCGTGCTGCCAAAAGGGGTGGTTTTCCGTGCCAGGGTGGGAGTGGAACAACACTGTTGTTCTGCCATGAGCAGACAGATTCAAGGAAGTAAAGCCTCTTGAAACAGCTTTTTACAAACAACTGTTTTTCTGTCATAGCTAGTTTCTTGCCAATTTGGCTCCCTAAACCAGTTCACAAGAGCAGCACTGGAGAGCATAGAAATACTTTTCTTCCCAGCAGCAGCTAATAAGATCTATGAAGTAACAAACTATATCCCTTACCAAAGGCAGCCTTTGCAATGCTTACCTGTGAGTTTTCAACACAATAAGTCATCTTAAAATTATGTGATAACAAAACATTACAAGCAGAGTTCCATTATGAAAAAACAGTGAGAAACAGTGAAAAACAGTTACACCAGAAGACGTTTACTCACCATACTCTGATGGCTGCAAAAGTATTATCACCAAGAGAAAAATCAGCAATAAGAGATCAAAAATCTCAGTAATAATATTTTCATTCCAGCATCAGAGAAGTTAATCCTGAGGGCTGATATCACTATGTGTGATGTTACTTTCTCCTGGAATATTCCACTTCAAAGTTGCTTTATGACTAGAATAATGCACATTTAGCACTCAGGCAAGAGTAAGAGAATGTTAGCATTTCACTCAGATGCAGTTAACACATGGAGTAAAGATAATAATTTGCTGCCCATTTCAAGCATTATCATGCTCTCCTGCACAAAAAACCCATCAAAACTGCAACAGTCTAAAAGAAATGCTTAAACAGTTACAAAATGCTAAGTGACCGCTTACTCCACAGTGCAGTTCCTTAGTTTATTATCCTTAACTCTGCCCCCTTTATTTATCCCCATTTGCCTTGGAGCTCTCAACAGCTAACAGAAACACTCATATTCACAATGATACATGTAGCTATATTAAACCATGAAAGGATCAATTAGAGCACCTTGGCAGAGCTGGGCATACATCAGGAGTTGACCTGGACAGCCAACGCCCCTCAGAGCAAAGAAAAATCCCTGTGTGTAACTCCCGTGCCTGTGATCAAATGTCAGATATGCATTTATCTGCAACAGGAATAATGTTTTCCATTCCAATACTGTATTATACAGTATGACATTTGGGTGGCAGCCACAAGCAACGTGGCTTCTGTGAAGGGAGATTCTGTCTCACAGGCCTAAAAGAGTTCCTTGAAAGAATCAACAAGTGCGTGGATAATGGCAACCTAATTTATACGTTCTGCCAAGATCTCCAAAAGGCTTTTGATGGAGTCCTCCTCTGAACATAGACTTAAGGAAATAAAGCAGCCATAGAATAAAAGAGAATGTATTAGATAAGCCATAGATAAATAACTGAGTAAGAAAATAGAAGACATAGGTCTACTCTCAGAGATGGAGGTGGTCACTGAAATTCTGCTGGGACACATGCTGTTCCACACATTAATAAAGAACAGCAACAAAAATAAAAACTTGATGTGACAGTCTGAAGCTATTTCAAGTTATTTAGCACAGTCAAGGAAGAGTTTTATTTTTTTCATAAAACACCTGTTCAACAATCACTTTTCAAACCACAGCCTGAACATTGGGAATGAAAAGGGAAAAAAGTCCACATTAGACAAAGCGGGGGGTGGGGGGTGGAAATCACTGTCTGTTTACCATGAGCAATTCTGCAAGTACCCCCATTTCAAAATTAACAGAAGTGGAAAAAGTTCAGAGAAAGACAGAAAATAGAACCATACATATGGAATAGCCTCCATGTAAAGAATGACTAAATAAAGAGTCTTCAGTTTAATACTGTATTTTTCTGTACAGTAAGTTCTGAACAACAGAGTGGTTCTGCATTTGAGCAGAAGCTAACTGAAAATACACTAGACATCTTAGTGAGATTAGCCTGCCTTCCCTCCATTGCATATACATAGAGATATAG